TTTGTAGGTAAAAATGCAGCCTTTTTCACAAAAATGTAGATCTGTTAAAACATAATTGTCCTTACATTCTATCGTCTTATTTAAGTTATGTTTAAATGCATAATGACATTTTAAAATGAAAGCATTGGCCTTGATATGGCAATTTACAAAGAATGCTTTTAATACACCATTTCAATTTTCTCAATGCTACTTTACGTAATCGAACTTGTATACGTTTACCTTAATGGTAAAAAGGCATTCAAACGTATACTTGGACGATTATATAGGTAAAAATCTCTCTCAAGTTATTCATTAAATTAAATTATATTGCAGTTGATACTTTATAATCATATCATTTTCTCAGGTTAAGGTTAGTGTTATCCTTCGTGTAATAAGATGAAAGCATATGTAGAAGAATGTAATTATTATAGAAAGGGCTGAATGTTTGATATTCTTAAATCTTTTTATTCAAACTGTCTTTCTGTTATAATGAATATAAGTTCCATGATCTCAAACTTATCCAAGTGATCACAAAATAGCCCTAAATGTCGATACTAGCACATGATTGTAAAAGTGAGAATAATAATTAATTACATAGAGGATATTGAATGAGTGTAGTTTTAATATCAATTTTTTTGAACGAGCTGAATAAAATCATATTATGCAAGCCTCTGGCGAAAATGGACAAGAAAGTATTTGCTTTTCGTGATCAATTTCGTGTAAATAACTACCTAGCCACCGAACAAAAAGTAAACTTTGGGTTTTCGCTGTTAAATGGTACTAAGTACACGAATTGGTCAATGTGATGTATAGTTATGGGGTCCGGCGTCCATCGTCGTGCGACGTTCGTCGTAAACATTTGGGTTGTTAACACAGTTTTGATTGGGTCAAAATAAAACTTTGTAAGAATGTTTGTTCTCGGGTAGTAAAGCTAGGTCTTAGAAGCTAAAGATAGAAATATCTTGTTCACACTCAAGTGGCTGCAGTTTTAATCCAAATATTCTGGAAAGTGGTCAAGAAGATTGTTATTATGATTTCTAGTTCAAGTTTGAATATAGATTGTCTCAAGTGAAAATCTAGGTCACAGGAGCTAAAATTAGAAAACACTCAAGTGGCTACAGTTTTTATCCAAATATATAACACAATATAAGCACAATTTTTAGTTTATCAAATATTACAATGGTTTAGCACAATGTTATCATTAATCAGCAAAATGTTATAATGGCGAAAGCACAATGTTACAATAGTGAAAGCAGAAAGCTACTATTGATTAGCACAATGTTTCGTTGGTGAAAGCAAAATGTTATAATGGTGAAAGCAAAATGTTACAATGATGAAAACACAATGTTGAAAACACAGTGTTTCAATGGTAAAAGCACAATGTTACAACTATTAAGCACAATGTTACGATTATTTAGCACAATGTTGCCACGGTTATGCACGATGTAACAATGGTTTAGCAATATGTTATCATGGTGAAAGCACAATGTTACAATGGTGAAATCACAATGTTACAATTGTATACCACGATGTAACAATGGTTTAGCACACATTTATCATGGTTTAACACAATATGTAATGGTTAAGAACAATGTTACGATGATTTCGCACAATGTTACAATGGTTTCGCACAATGATTCAATTGTTAAGAACAATGTTACTATGGTTCAGTACAATATTACAATGGCATAAACACAATGCTATTATGGTTCAGCACAATGTTTCCATGGTAGAAGCACAATGTTTCAATGGTTTAGAACGATGCTACAATGGTGAGAGCACAATGCTATAGTGATAAAAGTACAATACTACAATGATGGAACCCAATGCTACAATGGTGAAAGCACAACGCTACAATAGTGTAGGCACAATGTTTCAAAAGTGAAAGCAAATGTTAAAATGGTGAATGCACGATGTAACAATGGTTGAACCACAATGTTACAATGATACAACAACAATATTATATTGATGAAACAACAATGTCACAATGTTGGAACCAAAATTTTTAAAGATAAAACCGTAATGTTACATTTATGAAAGTGGTAAAGCGATTTGTAACAATGGTGAAATCACGATGTTATTATGCTAAAATAACGATGCATCAATGATGTGAGCTCGGTGTTTTTCTATTTAATACACCGATAATTTGGGGGCGTCTGTGGCCGAGTGGTTTAGGTCGTTGACTTCAAACCACTTGCCTCTCACCACTGTGGGTTTGAATCCCGACAGGGACTTTGGATTCTTTCATGTGAGGAAGCTATCCAGCTAGCTTACGGAACGTCGGTGGTTCTACTCAGGTGCCCGTTTGTACCTGAAATAGTGCACGGAAGGTCTTCCACCATCAGTAAAACTGAAACGTCGCGATATGACATATACTGTGTCGATGTGAAGTAAAACCCAAAACAAACAAACAAACACCGATAACGTTAAAGGAATTATGAATAATACTTTCAGAAGAGTATTATATTAGAGACCTAAGAAAGACAGATTAATTATCATTATCATAGTCAGATTATAGAATGTTGAAGTAAAAAGAAACGTTTTACATCTACCATTCTTTTCTTGAGTGGATCGTTCCTAAAGCGTGTTATAGAAAATACTAGTATCTTATACATCCTTTAAAAACTTTATTCTTATAAGATATCAAATATACCTAAGTCATTCTTCCAAGTATATTTCAACAAGTCATCATAATAATTATATTATGTTTAATCAAAATCCCCATGATGTATATTGATGAGTCTTGTAATGGCTAGTAGATTCAAATGACACATTTACTTGCTCTTACACGGGATCAAGTATCAAAATATGTCTTATTTTTAGTAGTTCAGATGCATGGGTACATGGCGAGTTATCAACTTTTATTTAATGGAGGTTTAAATCACAGCTTATTTTAAAGTCAGCGATTATTTGACATCACAGGGACAAAGACTAAAATGATTTTGTCTATGTTACTTGAACTCCGATTAAAAAGAAAATTCGATTCGCAAATTCGATGCAACCACTATGTTAACCACTAAACAATCTCGATTAATCGGTATATTTGTTAGAATAAACGGTTACACCCGCAGGGATATTGCAATCCAATAGATGTTAAGGAAATGCAGTTACGTTGCCTTTGTTTGATTGATGAAGACGCACGAGATCTGTAAGAAAAAAAGCAACTGTTATTAGAATATTGTGTCAGAATATAATATAAGACAACTAATATACAAGTGCCCTTATTTGACACAAATATATGCGGACAGGTTAAGGTACAGTATAAAGACTATAACACTATTTTCTTAGTTTTTTTTACTACGGTCTACAGCTTTAGTAATTCATTTCATTATCTCAAATTAACAAGAGCTGTCAGAAGGACAGCGCGCTCGACTTTTTTAGTGCTTGCCTATAAAACAAAACTTTGACAGTTAAGGGCACACAAGACTTTAACTAGGAATTTCTAAGTACAAATCAAGAAACATTTTCACAGAGTTATCTTCTCTTGCTTACAGATAGGTCTCATGATGGCACATAAGAACTCCAACTTCCAAAGTAATATCTCAAATGGTTAAGTCAACAAGTGGACAAGAATGAAAATTTTAACTGAGTTTCTAAGTCAAAAAGGGCCATAATTCAAATAAAATCCTTAACAGAATTACCTTCTCCTGCCCATGTTTTGGGACCATGATGGTAAACAAGTATTCCAACTTTCAATTTAATATCTCAACCAGTTCAGTCAAAAAGTTGACTGGTACAAAAAAGTTAACCAAGATTCTAAGTCGATAAAAGGCCTTAATTTTTAAAACAAATCCCTGACAGAGTTACCTTCTCTTGCGTACAGATGGGGGTAATGATGTGAAATAGCATTAAAAGTTTCAAAGCAATATCTCAAAGGGTTAAGGCAATAAGTGGATTTTACCCATATTCAATGTATTTTCTAAGTCAAAAAGGGGCATAATTCTGTCAAAAACCTTGACAGAGTTATGTCCTCTTGTCTGTTGATGAAGGTCGTGATGGTAAACAAGTATGGTCAGTTTCAAAGCAATACCTCCAATGGTTTTGAAATAAAGTGAGGTGGTACAAAAAACTTAACCAAGCTCAATACACTTTCTAAGTCAAAAAAGGGCCATAATTCTGTCAAAAACCTTGACAGAGTTATGTACTCCTGTCTGTAGATGGAGGTTATGATGGTGAACAAGTATGGTAAGTTTCAAAGCCATACTTGTAATACTTCTGAAATAAAGTGGGGTGGTACGAAAAACTTAACCAAGGTGTGACGCCAACGCCGACGCCGACGCTAACGCCGACGCCGACGCCGACGCCGACGCCGGGGCGAGTAGGATAGCTCCCCTTTTCATAGAAAAGTCGAGCTAAAAATGATAATTATAGTCATGTTTTCTCATAAACAGGATAATATAGGGAAATCAGTTGAGTAGATCAAGATCATTTTATGCTCTTTTGTTTGTATTGTATTTGATGGTAAAATTTGTATATAACAATCGCCACTAGAAGGCTATTCACTTTTTTGTCCTGTAATATGGATTCTGTTAAGCTATCAGTACCAGTATGGTATTTAGGCAAAAAGAAATATTTCAGGCATTGCACTTCCGTACATATAAGAACATGGACGGACAAGAAAGAAATTTCTAAAGGTTGGAAAAAAAATATCACACTTAATTTTTTTACAATATTTTATTCGAGAAAGTTAACAAGATAACAACTGCGTTTATAGATACATTTTTGTTGAAGCAATAACAAGTTAACAGAAACGAACAGAAAAAAAGAGTATTTCGAAAATTTGAAACAATACATACTTGTATAATACTACACTAAATAGCATTATTCAATGACAAAAAATGAAATAATTAGTTTGTTTCTGAAAACAAATTTTTACTGAATCATCCTTTATCAAGAATGTTGTACGTTACTGCTACATTATAAATTTGTTATGACATAATGCTCATTTTTATCATGTTGAGCTGCAGTGACTTTATATTTCAAAAGACTGACTGTTATAGTGGTGATTTGTGGAAAAGCTATAAATCTGCTGAAAATATAAAAATGCTGTTCCACTCTTTTTATAAATTGAACGATACATGTAATTTTAGATAGAACTTTCCTTGAGCCAGGTAAGTTATTTATCGTTCATGCGAAACAAATCTTAAATTCACTATATACCCTTTGATGGACATAATGTCATTTTAGATGCAAAATTATCTCTCAAGAGGTCAGGAAAGTATAAGACATAGATAAAGTCTTTACTTGTTGCGATGTGCCAAACGTTTCTTAATTCCGATACAAATATTTCATAGAAACCGTCCTATTACTAACATAGAAAGAGAGCAAATACGGAGGTTTATAAAGACATATCAAATTACTTTAATATAAATATCCTATAGTCTAGTGGAATTATAATAATTAAGACATTCTTTATTTGTACACATACATAAAAACAAAACAAAACAAAACATGATATGGCACTGAGGTTTATACTCTTACTATAAGAAAACATGACTGTTCATGTACACTTTCAGAAAACAAAACTTGTTGCCCTTATATGACCTTTGCTATATTTTAGCATTTTTCAAATTGTTTTTAAGAGTTGTACACTTTAACAGAATATGAAGCATTTGAGTGATAACTAAGGCACGAAGACTAACAACAAATAAAAGCGAACTATTGTATGACTTCGCTTAAGTAGTATTTAAATTTATTCTTAAATCAACAAAACGGAAACATGATTAGACAGCATATACGAATTCAACATTAAATATGACTGATGTTTACTTACAAAGTATTTGTATATAACCATATCTATCAAATCGTTTTCGTAAACAAAACGTTTATTTTAAAATTTATATCATAGATTGTGACCGCTGATGTCGCTGCATATCAATGTTTAGTAACATTTTTAGTAATTATGATAAAAGCACATGCCACCCTTTTGCCATTTCAGTTGCCGATGAAGGCATTTGATTTCAAATTGGAATTATTTTCTATGAGATGTTAGATATAGATGGGAGACGTGTTTACACGACCTCTTAAAAGTACACACAATAATTAAGATATGGTTAAATGGATATTGCGATTAAGACATTTAAAATAGAACTAGAAGTGTTCCCATGAATTCAGAAAGTACATGACAAAAACAAAACATAATAAGGCTATTCAGGTATCGACACTAAAATAAAACATAAATGTTTATGAACTCACTCATGAAACAAAACTAAATGTAAATATATGACGTTTGCTGCATTTTTATTGTTCTTTACATACTGTAAACATAAACAAAATACAATACGTTTGAAACTAAGATATTGAGAAACACAAAAAAAAAAGAGAAATGTTTTAGAAACATGTACATGTAAGTATGTTAATAAGTCAACAAAAGGGAAACATGGTATAAGACAGAATATACCAATTCATACAACACTTCATAAACTCATTTTCGTTTAACAATCGTTTTACATATAATTCATGAGCACTGATGACAATGTATAACTTTTTTTGTTTAGTAAACTTGATTAGCGCTTTGTCAGTGTAAGAGCTTTGTTTTGATTTTCAAAATGTATATTGTCAATAGCTGTATTTATTTTAAACAGAAATAAAACACAAATTGAATGAATATAATAAAATTAGTCCCGGAACAACTTGTCTGCAAATGACATGTTGAAAACTGAATGAATAATATAGGACTAGCAATGATGCTAGTCCGTAACTCCTATAAATGAGACAAGTAAAAAAACCGCAAAGCCTCGGATACTTGTTCGGAAAAACTCAGAATTAAAAAGTAAAAAAGTCTCTCGGGTACTTTTCGGCAAACTTAAATTATTTTCCAGACAGTTTAGAACAACATTAGATTTAATGACAAGCAAAACGAAAATACCTAACTGCTTTATATTTTCAACAGTGAGGGTCAACATAAACTTTGAAATATTAGCTTAACGAAAATACTTAACTGCTTTATATATTAAATGGTGAGCGTCAACACAAACTGTGAAAGTATGAAACATTCTCAGCTGCAGCAATCAATCAATTCCCCCCCCCCCCTCCAAGTGGTTCACTATTCCGTCCAACAAAGAAAAATATTTGTGATCTCAAAATCGTCGAAATCCGTAAACACTTTAACTTTAACACTTTTATCAAGCTAAATATTAAACAACAGAAATCTTTGCAATATGATGAAAATTGTTTTAGATGTAAACGCAATGCTACGATCGTGAAATTCAAGCTGACAAAATATATGATTTCCTTTATCTACAATATGTGACACTAAGAATCGTAAATGCGCAGGAAAACCACGCTGCGTATCAGTTAAAGATGTTACTGACAACAGCTGTTGCATTATAATATCTTAGAAACCATTTCGTCCATAAAATATTTTACGTGCAAAAATTACATTTACAAGTTGAAACATATAATAAAAAAGTTAAATAACGTTCATTTCCATAGATATTGCACTCGCAATAAAGAATGTTTATAACAATGAAAACTAAAATTCGGGTTTCATTTACTTTTATTAAATCGGATAGTTGCAGCCTTCGTTGCTGGTCGATTAATTAGCGGCAAAAAGATTTTGTTATCATTTATCGAATATTATAGGAACACGGATTTCACTTTTCATCATTCTAGCAAATTATAAGCATTACAGCGATAAATACTAAACAAATTGTCTATGTTTCACCAGTTATAAATAGGGTTAACTTTATGGGACAATGAATATGGTAAAGTGGGATCCTGTTCACCGCTTCTTCCTCTACTGATATATCTAGAAGCATAAGGATAGAATCCATGCTCTGCGTGACCTTGGTTGGATATATATCCCCGTCCATGATGCTTTAATCCCGAAGATGAACTGAACGATGGTACTGTTCTGTGATACGACCACTCGCCGTCCTGTTCTAATCTATGATTTATAAAAAGCAATAAAAGAAAAATGAAAAGAAAAATAAACCTCAAATTAATGAATAGTTGTTAAATTTCTTATCTACTTCAATACGCTACTTTTACAGCTAGGGGAAGAATAGTCACACATAAAAGGAATGATAAGCAAAATACGGTCTAATCCGAAATAAGCTGGTAGAAACGACGAAAAATAAACTAAGCCCCTCCTGTTTCAAACCCCCCTACTGAACGTTAGATCAATTGCTCCCAAACAGTATCATATAGAAAACCATGTGCATATTTATGTCAACAAAATAGGTCAACCATCGACTATGTATAATTACAAAGTAGAAATTTTATAAACAAAGTATTGGATAGCCATAACATTGGAAACACTGGAGAATTCCATTGAAGTATGACTCCGAATAGCTTTGTAAACGAAAAATTTAATATATATATAATCAACCATGTCTTAGACTTTAAAAGGATATACATTTACATATATTTTACTCAAAACTTACATTTGAGATCCGATGTGATGATCACGTTTCCGTTTCTGTTTTCGGAGTCTGTATCCACGTATTGGAAAGCAGATAATGAACATGATTAAGATGACAGCGGCAAAAACACAAACTATCACCACGACCACAAATGTCAGTCCAACTGCAAAATGAAGCAAAATGGTATTGAAAGTACGTCACAATTGGGCATGTGAACTTCCTTAACATTCTATAAGTCGGAAAGATTGGGATGTATAAATAATTATTGACAAATCTTTGAAACTATAAGAAAATTTGTTTCAAACAATTCTGATAACATTCCTTTGGACACTTTATATCTTTTATTTGATCTTTTGTCACAATTGTGTTAAATTTAGCAAGATTTTTACTAGGAAACGTACATGTTTATTATAGTCTTAACATAATGCCTTGTCAAAACTACTAAAAACAATAGAAAAAATTGTATGTAGCACAAACGGCGAAAAAAGTGCATTTTCTTCGAAACCTTTATATCTTTGTATACAAATTGTCACTTTTGTAACAGATGATATTACTTACATTGTTGGTCCTCTTTTCTGAAAAAAAGCAAATAACATTGACATGTTTACTAAAAGCATGAAAAAATCCTTTTTTCTCGATGTGCTGTATCTATGTATTGTTATAACTTTGATACTTTATCTTGGTATATGATAGAAATTAGTTTTTACCTATTACAAATAGAAAAGAAACTTGTTGCTTTTATCAGCATACATATTACTACGCAAGAACAAACAACCGTAGATCATTTCGTTAGAAATAAGTCATCCCAATTAGATCAGCAGGCAGAGCAAAGGATAAATAGTCAAGAGGCTGTTGGTTTGGTCCTCTACCGAGACAACAATTCTCCGTTACATTTCATTTTGGACATTGAGTCTTAAAAATAATCATTTGTCTAGCAACGCCTGTTCAGAACCCATATGGAATAGGTAGTAAGTCAATAAGGTGGATCTACCGCTGAGATATGATAAAGTGTTAAAATCGCTTTAAACCAGAAGCCCATAAACAAATAACAAATGAAAGATGATTGTGCAAAGTGACGCATTTGCAACAACTAATATATATTTGAAGTAGTTTTCAAATCTATTTCGAAGTAACAGTCACTGAAAATCTTTAAAAATACACAGTTTCAATGTATTTCCAAATAATCTTTAAAATATACGCTTTCAAAGATTCATATGGAATGCATATGTAGGTAATATCAAAAACATTTACATACACGCATGCAGGTATTCTCGTCTCCACAACACAATGTTCTTCCGCAGGACATTCTCCATTGACCTCAAGAAATATTTCACAAATGATAGTTTCCGTCGGACCCGTCTCAGACGCCACTTTTAACAAATACAGCAATTTTATAATTATAAATTTTTACATGCATATTTAAATTGTAAGAAAAAAATTGTTACAAGATTTTCTGCACTATATTCGAAATCAATATGAGAGTCATTGATTGAAATTTACAATATCTACAGACATAGTACTGTACATTCTGATTTACAAGGACTCCATCGCGGTTTTATTGACATGACAGGCTTGGAATATTGTTTCAAGATATCTAATATCCGTACCATTTGATATAGGTTTGGACCAATAATTTTTGTCCAATTTTTCGGATTATTAACTTATCTATTTTTTTTTCCAGTAAAAAGTAATATATTGCGCAATATGACACGAAATTGAACAGCCTGCAATGCTTTTACACAAAATGGGATAAGAATCGCACAAATCATCGATATTTTAATTTAATTCTTAGTATACTTCCTTTAGTATCCTTTGATTTTGTCTATTTTAAGTGCTTTACTTGATCTATGTAAGGATCTCAAATTTTATGTTATTAGTTTTTACCCTTCATAACAGCAATGAATACGAAGACATAACTTAGATATAACATACTTTACTTTATTAAAGCCACACATCAGTCGCATACTTAAATATCGGACTTAAATCTTCAAATTATACAGGATCTTTCCAATTGTAACCTTTTTAATTATCAGATTATATTTTAGTACTAGCAATACCTTTCTTGTCGCCAACTTTTATAGTTGAAGGTGACATCGTTTGATTTAGGAGTTTAATTGTCTTTTCACCAGTGATTAAATCAACGTTAGCTTTGGTGAAGTCACTAGCAGTTACCTCGTTATCTTCATACTCGGCTACAAAGTCTGCGACCAGGCTTCCAGGGCTTGGAAGAAAACAAAAAAAGGATTTAGAGAGAGGGTTTGGAAACGGTATTTACACATGTTAACTGAATTTGAAATCGCCGAAGAAGAACTAAATGTGATATTATGTACGCAAAGTAGCACAAAGCGAAATATTTTAAGTAAAGAAAAATTAAATTGTCAAATATCATTTATAATTAAGCATTTCCAATTTACGACAAATGGCGAATAAAGAAAGTTTATCTACCTTAGCAGAACATCCATTATACGCCGGAATGATTCACCAACACTATCTTTAAAGTACTGGGATATCTGAAAAAAGTTCATAACTTGAATATGACTATACTTGTGAACTTGTCGATTTGACAATGTAAGTAGAATTAGTAACAACTCAAAAACACGTATTGTATCTTACATGAACTAATATAATGACTTAAATCTACAAGGTCTAGAAAAAACTTTAAAAATACTTAATTTGGAGAGGTACTCAGCATGATTTATTTATGATTAAACGATATCTTAATATTATTGAATTTCTCGAAAGTAACTTAAGGTTACAGTGTATTAAATAACAAGATACTAGACGCTTGGTCTGGTTACAAAGGAAAGGTTTTTGATATCGTACAGGCTAATTGATTTAAAAAAAAAAATTATTACCTCCCCTGAAACACTTGCTAGAATGTCAGCACTAGAAAGATCAATGTCAGTGACGTCAATTCGGAATACAAACTGCATAGATTTCCTTCTTATTGGAACATTCGTGACTGAAGTGTGATTTAAATTGTCATTATACTTACAGAACAAATACATGTAATCTTATATGTGTCAATTCTTTCATGAAAGTTAAGTTAATAAATTGGAATTAACAAATTAAGATCATTGAGAGTGTTTAGACAATCAGAACCTACAAACAGTGAAAACTGTCAGAAATCCAAAGGAACAAAGAAAATATACAAACTAATTCAAAGATTTATTTATTTAATCTTTAAACTTATTACAAGCTAATATCTTATTTTTACCTGTCTCACAATTGATGCCTTCGTATCCAGCTGTGCATCTACAAGTGTATCCGTTCATTGCATCAATACATTCGGCATCATTCTGACACGGGCTGGATTGACATTCATCTATATCTGAATATTCAAACGGTAATCATTTATATCGATATTAAAGCAACATGCCTCCAGATTCATGCTATTTCTCATGAATATTTTGAAAATCCATTCAAAAGTATATCTTGTACAATGTCGGAGTGTTAAGATTGGACGCAATTTGACATATCAATTCTCGCTGTAAAGTCGAATGTAAAACAGCAAGTCTTCGTAAGTCTATTGTTAGATATGTAATATCAAATGTTAGTGAAAATATTCAAGAAAGAAGGAAGAAAGGAGCATATACAATAATGTTGAAGTACATGTAGTTAAAAACAGACATAGAATGCAATCTAATTTGGTTTAAACACAACACTAGTACGTTCTGTCAAATAATTCAGTAAAAAAAACAATTGCAATTAGTAAACTGACATTATTATCATTTAAATTAAAAAAGAAGAGTTTATGAAAAGGTTTACCAGATTCACAATGGACACCTTCGTAACCTTCTTTACACGTGCAAGTGTACCTATTTACGTCATCAACACATTCGGCGTTATTTTGACATGGGCTTGATTGACATTCATTCACATCTTAAAAACGTTTATAAAAACACAATTGATGTACATAGATTCATAAGAATAATTAAGTGTATAGGCCTAAAACTATGTGTTAGGTGCTTATCAAATTAATGCAATTATTTCGAAGGATATGCAGTTAGTTCGCGACTCACTCAAAGAAATAACAAGCCTTATGACTAAAATAAACACAAACATCATCAGGTGTCGTATTCTAAAAGACAAATTTCTGTTGATTTAAATATATCAGTATACGTGTCTGTTTTTCAGCCTTGT